CTGAAGTATTTCAGCACAATCTAGACCTTGAGACAAATTTTTCACATGTTGCCCGGTTAGACTTTATGAATAATTAAAGATTCCTAACTCTGCACTAGCCTTCTTTGACTGCTCTTATTTTTTTTTCTCTGTTTTTAACTAAGGCTTTTCTCAGAGGCGGATCCAACAATTTGGCAACACCGGATTTCCTTTATTAAAACCTATGCTAAATAATCGATTCTTGCCGGAGCACTTGGCCCCTCCAAGAACCGATACATTTCCATAGGTTTAAATGGAGAGAAGGCATTGTTGCCAATTCGCTGGATCCGCCAATGGCTTTCCTACATGTTTTCTGAAATACAAGAGTAGTACAGCCGTGCTAAGGAAAAACGCCGTATGAACCTTCAGGCGTTGCCAAATTTTCTTTGATGAATCACGAATTCTTCGGACAATGTGTTAATATTTTCCTTCGAATTATTTTTTTTTTATGATGTTGTTCGCAAGTTCACCTGAAGATTTTGAAAATTTCAGGGAAAAATATTCATAGTATTCCACAAAAATGAACGTGTCATCGAAGGAAATTTGGCAACACTCGAACGTTCATGCGTCGTTTTTCCTTAGCACGGCAGAGTAGCTCCTTCAATATGTTTCTCTACTTTATGCTTTATTATTGACGACTCAATTTCAAATTTTTGCATGAGTTCATTTTTACAAAAAACCCCTTCTTCTCAAATGATTCTTCCCCATTAAGGTGAATCGATGGACGCCATATTTTGTGTCAGAACGGCAGCGATATATCGCATCAATTGGTTCCATTTTTTCAGCTACTCGTCATTTTTCTCCAATTTCGAGATCGCGATTCTGTATTCAGGACACTAAAGCATTCACTTACCAATTTTAACAAAGAAATCGAACGTAATAAAAGCGAGGTTTTTTAGAGAGAAAACATCGCATTCGATACTGATATCGAAACTGCACTCGAATGCGATAATTTCTCTCTGAAAAAAACACGCCTTTATGAGGTTGAATTTCTTTGTTAAAATTGGTAAGTGAGTGCTTTAGTCTCCTGACAACAGAATTGCGATCTCAAAATGTGAGAAAAATGACCTATAGCTGAGAAAATGGAACCAAGTGATGCGATACATCGCATGCCGTTCTGACACAAAATATGGCCTCCATCGAATCACCTTAATAAATATTCTTAATAATTTTCATCAGTTTGGGATTTTTTTTTTTATAAATTTTAGATTATTTTGGATTTGTATGCAGGTTTCTTATTACATAAAATATTGATGGGCTTCTCAATGACTAAGAACTTCGACAGCTTAACTGGTGCAGCTAACAAGGGCAAAAACATGAACATCTTGGATTCACTGAAGTTTTATTCCGCGGTTCAAGTTATGGTCAAGCATCGCATGATCACTCTCCTCGTCGTTTTACTTTATAATCCTTCTTTTCATGAAACTGTAAGTACCCCTCCTTGCTCAAAATTTATTTTAATTTCACAGAGTTCAGAGGATAAAAGATAACGAAACCTATCAGATTGGTCGGTGCTAATTACTTTGTTCAAAAAAAAAAAAAAAAAAAAAAAAAANAAAAAAAAAAAAAAAAAAAAAAAAAAGAATAAGCTGTCATCTCCGGCCCTCGGGTACGGGATAAGGAAGCAATTCAATGTTCTCTCGAATAGTTTATCTATTAAATGTAATCGACCGGAGGCGAGATAAAATACCCTGGTAAAGTTTGGCGATAAGAGCTGAGTTTCAAAATACCACAGGAATTCTTATAGCCGGCTAAAGAAGCAGAGACCTATATGTTAAAAATTTCTTATTTAATCAGTTCATCGTTCAACACCGCAATGGGCCGCCTTTGCGTTTGCGTTCGGGATATGGAACCCGAACGGAATAGGCTCCTAATGAGTTTGGGTTTTCGATCGTGAACCGTTCGCGGAAAGGTCTCGGTCGGGTTCTCGATCCCGAACGCATTGTCAATCGAATCGGTTCGAAATTCGCAACTCGAACTAATAAGCGGCCGACTGCGTTCGAGTTCAAATAACTTATACC